ATACGTTCGCGTGCACATCAAGGCAGGCTAGGCCATCCGAACCTATGATTGGCGACGGATGCACGGCTTCCCAACGAGACTTCTGTTGCGTAGGGTGTAAGGCAATAGGGGTGTTCACTTGCTTTAGCTGTTGAAGTTCGAGATGGCGGAGGAAGACATGGATGGTGATGATTTTGTCGTCCCTATTCTTACTTGTGCGCTGCAACTCGGGGAGGACGCTGTTCGGGTATTCGACGAAATATGGAGCCGGTCAGCATGGATGGGGAAGCGTTTGATTGAAGACATTTTTGACACTACCAAGCAAGAAGATAGTGCGTCAAGGAAGAGACGCAGGTCTGTGAGTTGGAAGTGGTCAGCTGTAGTGGATGTTTTCAATATTATGCCTCGCAATTCACCTCGATGGTGGGTCATGCGTCGCACTGGTGGTGCATGGAAGGACCTCGAGGTTACGGACGATGCTGAGGACGACTACTATGTCAGCCTTTTGCGAATGAAGAGATCCACCTTTAACCGCCTTCTCCGGGTCCTCGCACCGCATCTGCAGAAACAAGTTACGAGGTGGAGAAGGCCTTTGCCACCGGCACAGGTGCTGGCTTGCGCGTTGCATCGATGGGCACATGGCAACGCTCATCTGCACAACACATCCATGTATGGCATGGGCAAAACAAGCGGCCTGCGGGCTGTTCTCGATGTGGCTGAGACCATCATACGCTGTTTTGGAGATGCAGTTGGGTTTGGGACATATGAGGAGCGGCACCGTCGGATGCAGAAGTTTGCTGCCCTCGGTTTCCCGAACTGTTGGGGGTGCATTGACTGCACACAAGTGTTTGTCGACAAACCGAAAAAAAAGGACGGAGATGATTTCATGGGCGGTCACAAGAAACGGTTCTCTATCGTCGCTCAGTTGGTGTTCGATACGGAGTTGCGGATTCTCGATCTTTGTTACGGGTTTCCTGGCACTGTAGCCAATGGTCGTGTGTTGAGGAACTCTTCTTTGTGGCGGAGGGCCCTGGCTGGGGAGCTGTTTGCGCCTGACCATCAAGATCCGACCCGGCACTTGCGTCCCGAAATTCCGGGAGTGCCTGGGGGATACCTGCTCGGCGATAATGGATATCCTACTCTGGCTTGGCTTGTGGTTCCGTACRGGCACAGTGGTGTGGAACCACACACGAAGATTTTTGACAGTTGCACAAGGTTGTACGTTCTTTTGTCGAGCGCGGCATCGGCCTCTTCAAAATGCGGTTCCAGTATTTCTACAGGCCTCACGTGTGTGATCTCAAGATCGAAGGAGAAGAGTTCCATGCCGCGTGCATAGTGCACAACTTGCTTCAGGACTGGGGTGACCTTCCGGAGGAGTACCTACAGCCACCAGATACTAATAGTGGCACACAACCTCCATTCAGTAGAGCACTTGCAGGTGATTTGCGTGCGGTGCGTCAGTTTCGGACTAGAGAGCCTGGGGTTCAAGTTAGGCATGCCCTGTGTGCTCACGTCAACGCTTGGGTTGCCAACCGTGGCCGTTAAAAGCTTTGCAGACATTTAGACATGGCGAAGGGAGGTGAAGGTAGTTATGCCACGGCTGTGTGTGGCGGGGGGAAGGAGGGACAGGTGGAATGTATTGTGCGGACTGCACAGAATCTGAGTGACGCTCTTCTTAGTGCGCATCAGAAGTTGTCTGCCCTGCATAGATACCTCGTCAAGCGAGGAGATGACATAACGGTTGTTGTGAAGGACGGCGATCAGCAATGGCGTCATGAACACAACCATAGCCATTATTGTGCAAGAAAATGGTGCAAGGCGGTTGATGCAAGACTTCGGCAATCTCGTCTGAACGTTCGAACTTGGTGCGACGATGTCCTCTAGAAGCTAACAGGATGGAAGGCAAAATACGAAAGTGCAAACAAAGAGATTCAAATATTGAAGGAGGACAATGAGGACCTGCAGGGGCAGGTCCTTGATGCGCGTGAGCAGCATCATTATTTGGAGACGCAACTGCAAGATGCTATCATTGCCATCCAGGAGGCTCGTGATCAGCGAGATCTGGCATGGCACTGTTATGATGAGTGTTTCGGGGAGATGGCGAATCTTGCAGGTGATGCGGAAGCCCTTTCCTCCGAAGTCGCTATGGTGAGCCTGGAAGAAGAAGCTCATGGCAAAGCTCATGGCGAAAACGGTTCCCGGGAGGATGGTGAGCCGACGAAATGCAAGTTATGCTCGTCCTTGCATTCGAAAGTTGAAGAACTAAGACATAAGCTGGAGAACATGGAGCAGGTTAACAGCCTCCTGCAGGAGCCGCCTTCTTTCTGGAATGAGGTTTTTGACTGGTGATTGTATGGGACGGCCCATCCGGGGGGGGGAGGGGGCTTGTGCGTTCTTATCATCACCGTTGATCTTAGGCATAACGCCGGCTGTGTTTCATTATCGTATATTAGGCAGCAGTTTCTAGGATACTGCTAGCGATCTAAGGTTTGATAGATAGATAGATAGATAGATAGATAGA